AAACTCACCAATTGCTTTTTTAAAAAGGAAATGAGCTAAAAACAACATAGATGTAAGTGGAGCTTAAATAAACCTTTACTCAGTAAAATGAATGTGTTCACAGGGGAGGGAGAGTTTGGTAGTAAAAATAGTTTAAAGTATTACATTATTTTAAAAAGCATTTTGTTTCATTTACTGTAGATGGTCAAACACCATTTTAAAACAGATGGTAAACTGTTGGAGAGTAAAAGAAATGACATCTTGTTTCCATTTTCCTATTCCTTCCAGTTCATCTCTTTATTGTAAATGATTTTCCATTGTGGGAGGATATTAAATTTAAATCAAACTGAAAGGAAAAAAGCATGTGGCTATGTTCATAAATTCATGTTTCTTAGCACTTGCTGCCTTTTATAGCCATTTTATGAAGAATATTTCAAATTGATCTATTCTTTCTGGATCTGAAAAAATTGAGAGTTTCTTTTCTTGGGCAAACAGCTTATTCAAAAAAACCTACACACAAAAAGAAACAAAAGAATCGTGTAATTATGATATCAACATTTAAGATAAATTTTAATACTTTCAGGAGAAAGATGCACTGGTAAGCATTTGAGGAATGGTATTAAGTTTAATTTGTAAAGATAATAACGAAGATGCGCAGTGCTTACCATGTTCTTAGATTGTTCTAAATGCCATACATAAGAGAGTATGTATATATGTTTGCAACATACATGTGTATGTGTATATGAATGTTTGTGTGTGTTGCTAACAATTACGTAAATAAATAAATAAATAATTTCTCACAATAACCACACTAAGATGAGGGAACTGAAACAGAACAAAGTTAAGCAATTTGTCCAAGCTGAACCCAAGGGAGTTTGGCACCACAGTCCATGTTTTTAATAATTACTCTCTGTATACATCAAGAGCACTGAGAACATTAAACAAGCCAATAGATCGTTCATACCTCCTGTTCTGAACTTCCCTCTACAAAACACCAAGTTCTATTTTGGACATATGATACATCTGAAACTTAATGTAAATTTCTTTTACAAGAAAGGAGGTAACTAATTTCTGATTTTGAACCTCTTTGACCTATGACAAAACCCTCTAGATTCACAGAAACCAAAGTTTTTCAATCTAAAGCACATTATTTTGGGATCAAATGTAAATACATTAAAAAAAGATACACTGGAGGGGCACTTGGGTGGCTCAGTCAGTTGGGCATCGGACTCTTGGTTTCAGATCAGGTCATGATCTCACGGGTTGTGAGATCAAGCCTACTCTGTGCTCAGCAGGGTGGCTGCTTGAGATTCTCTTCCTCTGTCCCTTCCCCCACTTATGTTCTTTCTCTCTCTAAAATAAATAGATAAATCTTTAAAAAAAAAATTGGAGATGTCACTGAGGGAGGCAGTACCAGGAAGGCATGGAGAACCAGGAAGCACAAGGACCAATAGCTAGGACTAGAGTAGCTTGGAGAAACCCCTCTCACATGTGATGCCACTCCAGTAACCCAACCCCCTCCTGAACAGGGATCTGAGAATGTGCCAAGATTCCCCCTAGCCTTCACCAGGTGGGCCTGTATAATGCGTCCATGTGCAATAACAAGGGATGTCTTTTATTTTCTGCTACCTCTTCCCTGCCAGTGCATTGTTGGGGCAGATGGAGAAGGTATTTTCTTTTCTTTTTTTTTTTTTTAGATTTTTTAACTTTTATTTATTTGACAGAGAGAGACATAGCAAGAGAGGGAACACAAGCAGGGGGAGTGGGAGAGGGAGAAGCAGGTTTCCCGCTGAGCAGGGAGCCTGACACAGGGCTCAATCCCAGGACCCTGGGATCATGACCTGAGCCGAAGGCAGACGCTCAACGACTGAGCCACCCAGGCGCCCCTAGAGAAGGTATTTTCAAGACAAAGCATAAGCAGCACAAATAAAAGGTGTGAAGTTGCAAAAAAAAATTGAAATTAGGTTAATAAATCCATATCTTTATTTTCCAGATGGTTAACCACTAAACCACATGATAGAAATAAATTTTTATATAAAATTATATCTACTTGGGATTTTTAGCTAAAAAAAAAAAGGAAAACATACTTCTTTTTTTCAAGTTATCTATTATTTTTTTAATTGAAGTATAGTTGACATACAATGTTAACATTAGTTTCAGGTGTACCACAGTTATTTGATAACCCTATACCTTATGCTATGTTCACTACAAGTGTAGCTACCATCTGTCACACCCCCAACACTATTATAATACCACTGACTATATTCCCTATGCTGTACATTTTATCCCTATGACTTTACATTCCATAACTGGAAACCTGTACCTTCAATTCCCCTTCACCCATTTTGCCCACCCATCTACTGCCCTCCCCTCTGGCAAACAACAGTTTGTTCTCTGTATTTAGTTATAGGTCTGATTCTGCTTTTTGTTTGTTTTGTTTTTTAGATTCCACATATAAGTTAAATCACGTGATATTTGTCTTTCTCTGTCTGACTTATTTCACTTAGCATAATACCCTCAAGGTCCATCCATGTTGCCAGAAATAGCAATAATATTCCATTGTATTCTTTATCCATTCATCTATTGATTGACACTTGGTCCAGATCCTGGCTATTTTAAATAATGCTGCAATAAACAAGGGATGCATATATCTCTTTGAATTACTGTTTTTATTTTCTTTGGGTAACAGAATTACTGGATCATATGGTATTTCTAATTTTTGAGGAACCTCCATAGTTTTCCACAGTGACTGCACCAATTTACATTCCCAACAGTGCACAAGGATTTTGTTTTCTCCACATCCTCACCAACATTTGTTATTTCTTGTCTTTTTGATTCTAGCCATTCTGACTGGCGTAAGGTGATATCTTATTGTGGTTTTGATTTGCATTAAGGAAAACATACTTTTTAAGATTATACTCAACTTCATACAACTAATTACCTAAAAACAATTCCCAAAGACATTTTTATTTTGAGAGACACACAAAGGTTGCCTTCCTATACGCCAGCTCTAGAACCGGATTGCTCTATGACATTTTTCCTAAAAGCATTCATTTAAAACATTTTTATCTTGTGTCAGCTTCAACTGATTGATAGTGAATGGCTGGACTTGTGTGTGAAGAAGGAACCTGAGGCTGAGTTAAGGCTGAGCAAGAATGAATTTGATATCAGTTGTCAATATCTGCCATAGGTATGGGTAGAAAAAGCGATGGCACAAGTGCTATGTATTTACCATCCCTGAATTAGTGGATACAATTCTTTTTTTAAAGATTTTATTTATTTATTTATTTATTTATTTATTTATTTATTTATTTATTTATTTATTTATTTATTTATTTATATTTGAGAGAGCATGAGCAGAGAGACGGGCAGAGGGAGAGGGATAAGCAGGGAGCCCGATGCAGGGCCTGATCCCAGGACCCCGGTATCATGACCTGAGCAGAAGGCAGACGCTTAACTGACTGAGCCATCCAGGCGCCCTACTGTATAAAATTTCTATACAAAAAAACCCCCATCACTTGTAGTTTATACCAGAGCTTAAAGTAAAACTGAGAATACACATATACCAGACCAATAAAGACCATTTTTAATAAAATAATACCATCTTACTATACCATAAAATAAGAAACTAACACTCCAAATTATTCTCCAAATGTTTAGGAAGTGAACTGTGGTTCAGCCACATCACATAAGGGTGAAAGAAGGAAAACCAAAAATTTGTGTTCAAAGGAAGCAAGCTGGGGCCAAGATTTAATGGAAGTAAGAGAGAAAACTGGGTACAGGTAGGGGGAAAAACATTCTATGAAGGAAGGGGGACAGGTACTACAGAAAAGCAAAAGTAAAGTTTCTTTCTTGTCAGGGTAAAGAGAATTAAGAAAAAATATTCAAAACTTGGAAATAGGCAGAAGAGATTACTGGGATCATACCAATGGAATACAAGATATAATTTAGCAGACCTTCTGGGGACAGGATAGCTGACTGTGTAGGGATGTGCATCTTAATTTGACTTTCTATTGACTAGGGTATTTTACAACTTTATACGGGTAGTGGTTAACTTGCAGGTCACTGACAACAAAGCAATTGCTCTTCCTATTGGAGAGCAATGCAAATGATTCCTGTCCTTGGTCATATAAATACAAATCTGCTGGTAGAGATTTAACTCTTTTCCATCTAGAAAAAACATAACCCAAAATATTATGTCTCTTACCATGCAGAAATTTGCATCTACTGACAAATTAGTTCAGCATTCCTTTGACTATATATATATTCTTTGTTCCCTGAATTTTTCTTTGAACCAATCTTAGTATCTTATATGTTCTCATAATTAATGAGTTGAATAAGATATTTGAAATATTTTCCTATTTGAATAAAAGCCATGTTTTTAAATTTTTGAAAATTATATTCCAGCAAGCGTTTGTGTAGAAATAAACTAGATAAACGGGGAAAAAAGAGTTACAGAAGACCTAATAACAGGTAACAAAGTGACAGCAAAGGAGTGCCACTATGCAGTAACAAATATCTACTTTGTTCTAGAATGATTAAATGGTGACTGAGCATTTATTACTAAGAATTTATGTGTTGCATATATGAGCTGACTCTGCAGGTATCCCCTTTTCAAAAGCAATTTCCGAAGAAGAAATTCATGAAGAAATGGCAACTTGAAACACCTGGGCGGCTCTGTTGGCTAAGTGTCCAACTCTTGGTTTGGGCTCAGGTCATGATTTCACAGTTGTGAGATTGAGCCCTGCATCAGACTCCACACTCAGCACAGTCTGCTTCAGATTCTCTCTCCCTCTCCCTCCTGCTCACACACTCTCTCTCAAATAAATAAATAAAATTAAAAAAAAAAAAAAAAGAAATGGCAACTTTCCTATAAAGGAAGGCCAGAGAAGTGGGGAAACCAGCAGACCTTAGTAATAAGGAAGACTAGGGGGAAAAGATTCCAGGTAAGAACAATCCATGGTGTAGAATGCTATAAAAATGTCAAGTAAGATGAGATCTGAAAAGTATCCATTCATTCATATATTCAATAAATATTTATTGGGTTATTAGTATATGCCAAGAACTGTATTAGTCATGGGGATACAGTAATAAAACCAAAATAGTCCCTCCTGACATTGAGTATAGTCGAAGAGACAGACATTAAATAGCTAGTTTAAGAAATAAGTATTCAGAGATTCCAGTGCCAGGCAAGGAATAGTCCACTAAAGGGTTTTTTTTTTTTTTTTTTCTGATGGGCATTGATACCTCCTAGCTCAATGTGCCCCTCAAATTTCCACAGTGATTTTCCACAGAGCTGTGCCCCATATAGGCACCCCTTTAATAGGCCAGGTTTCCACTGCCCTTCATTGGCCATTGGCCATGAGTTGGTAAAAATGAAATCTAGGGATTGTTATCATTCATTGTCCAGTTCTTCCACCACTGGTAAGAAAACAGTATGCAAGTCAGCCCACCTAGCTGATTTTTACCTTCTCTGATCAGAGTGGTGGTCTACCAAACAGGATTTTGTCCATTTACCTTACAACTGCCATCCATGAACCAAGGAGATATTTGTTGGTCAGCTGAGAGATGTCCATAGGACATGGTCCAAGTGATGACAGAATCTGGAGGCTCTTCAAAATTTCAAAGTCAGGCCTAGGGTTTGAAAAGAGGCTCCCTATTGTAAGTACATCATCCTTGCATTCCATAGGTAGCATGACCCTGTGTAAACTATTTCCATTTTATTATGGAACTATTCTGGGCACTGCCCTCCCCAATACAGTGTTTTTCCAACATCATCCAAGACATCAAAGGCATTTTAGGATTCAAGATTTTACGTCCTTCAGTCACAAGGGCAGTTTTAATTAATGTCTGATAGCAACCTAGTAATTGCCCCCCAAATGGGAATTCTCCAGACCAAAGTCCCAGTAGTCAATGCTGGGAGATGCTCCCAGGCTTTTGTGATAAGGCCCAGTGTATGTTCCACATACAGTTATTGCATAAAGAATTTGTCCAGGGGTACCTGGGTGGCTCAGTCAGTTAAGCCTCTGCCTTCAGCTTGGGTCATGATCCCAGGGTCTTGGGATAGAGCCCCACATCAGCAGGGAGCCTGCTTCTTCCTCTCCCTCTGCCGCTCCCCCTGCTTGTGTGCGAGTGCATGGGCGCTCTCTCAAATAAATAAGATCTTAAAAATAAAAAAAAAATAATTTGTCCATATCAGCACTCCAGCTTCTACTCTATATGGTTTGGATTCACGTAATCTTATCGATTCCCATTTAGCATGTTCAATTAACATTGCTTGAAGGGCAGATTTACATGCCTTCTTTTTAACAATTCTGGTAGGTGAAATGTTCCCCAATCAGATATAATGTTCATCCCCATAATGCAATCAGGTAAAAGAGATACAACCATTTCACATAAAGCCCATTGAAACATATTAATTCTCCTCTAAACTTTCACCTTAATTTCATCGGCCTTTACATTCTTAGTTGTAGCTTCCATTAGGACTTCATCAACAGGTCCCGGTTTTATAACACTGACTAAAAGGTGTGGTGAAGATGTAGAGAAATTAGAACCCTTGTGCACTGTTGGGGATAATGTAAAATAGTGCAGTTGCTAAGGAAAACACTATGGCAGTTCCTCAAAAAATTAAAAATTGATATAGTAATTCCACTTCTAGGTATATATCCAAAATACAAAGCAGAATCTCAAAGAGGTATCTGTATACCCATATTTATAGCAGATTATTCACAATAGACTACGTGTCCATCAGCAGATGAATGGATAAACAAAATGTGGTATATAGACAAAGTAGAATATTATTCAGCCTTAAAAAGGAAGTAAATTCTAATACATGCTACAACAATATTTGAGATGATGCTAAGTGAAATAAGTCAATCACAAAGACAAATACTGTATAAATCCATTTACATGCAGTATCTAGAGCAGTCAAATTCATAGAAACAAAGTAGAATGGTATTTGCCAAGGCTTGGGAGGAGGGAGAATAAGGAATTATTGCTTAATAGGTATAGGGTTTCAGTTTCACAAGATGGAAAAGTTCTGAAGAATGGTTGCACAACAATGTAAATATACTTAATAATACTGAACTATACACCTAAAAATAGTTAAGATAATAAATTTTATGTTAGGTGTATTTTACCAGTTAAAAATTAGAAAATGAAAGTGTTTATATCTTTATAAAGAGAAATAACCAAAACCCAATAGATAATGGAATACTAAAAATATCCAAATAATCCAAAAAAAAAAAGGCAGGAAAGGTTAAAGAGAAAAATAAAAAAGAGGAAACAAACAGAAATCAATAAAAGTGTAACTTAAGTCCAACCACATCAATTATTACACTAATGTAAATGATCTAAACATACCAATTAAAAGCAAAAATTGTCAGATTGAGTTTTTTTAAACAAAGATTCAACTGAAATTAAATAAGCAATCCATAGATAGGTTAGGAGTAAAAGGATGGTAAAAGATAACATTAAAACACTAGTCAAAAGAAGTGGGAGGTGCTATGTATCACCATGGATAAAGACGGATATTATACAATGTTAAAAGGATCAGATCACCAAGAAGACGTAAGAACTGTAATTGTGTATGGACCTAAAAACAGATTTTCAAAATACATGAAGCAAAAACTTGAAAGGATAAATAGACAAATTCATAATTATACTTGGAGGCTTCACTATTTCTTAAAGTTATGGATAGAATAAGTAGAAAGTCAGCAAAGATTGAGAAGACCTGAACAACACTATCAACCAACTTGATCTAAGATATTTGTAGAACTCTCTACCCAACAACATTAGAATACACATTATTTTCAAGTGCACCTGAAGCATTTATCAAGACATATGATAGGGGCACCTGGGTGGCTCAGTTGTTGGGCGTCTGCCTTTGGCTCAGGTCATGATCCCAGGGCCCTGGGATCGAGCCCTGCATTAGGCTCCCTGCTCCACAGGAAGCCTGCTTTTCCCTCCCCCACTCCCTCCGCCTGTGTTCCCTCTCTTCCTATGTCTCTCTGTCAAATAAATAAATAAAATCCTAAAAAAAAAAAAAAAAAAGACATATGATAGTCTAGGGGCACCTGGATGGCTTGGCTCCATCAGCAGAGCATGTGACTCTTGATCTCAGGGTTGTGAGTTCAAGCCCCACGTTGGGTACAGAGATTACTTAAATAAATAAAAAATAAACTAAAAAAAGTAAAATCTTTATCCATTAATCTGTTGAAGGGCATCTCGGCTCTTTCCACAGTTTGGCTATTGTGGACATTGCTGCTATGACCGTTGGAGTGCATATGGCCCTTCTTTTCACTACATCTGTGTTTTGGGGATAAATACCCAGTAGTGCAATTGCTGGGTCATAGAGTAGCTCTACTTTTAATTTTTGAGGAAACTCCATACTGTTTTCCAAAGTGGCTGTACCAACTTGCATTCCCACCAACAGTGTAAGAGGGTTCCCCTTTCTCCACAACCTCTCCAACATTTGTTGTTTCTTGCCTTCTCAATTTTTGCCATTCTATCTGGTGTAGAGTGGTATCTCAATGTGGTTTTGATTTGAATTTCCCTGATGGTTTAATGATGATGAACATTTTTTCATATGTTTGTTAGCCATTTGTATGTCTTCTTTTGAGAAGTGTCTTTTCATGTCTTCTGCCCATTTTTTGACTTATTTGTTTTTTGGGTGTTGAGTTGGAGAAGTTCTTTATAGATCTTGGATATCAGCTCTTTGTAGTGTCATTTGCAAATATCTTCTCCCACTCTGTGGGTTGCCTCTTTGTTTTGTTGACTGTTTCCTTTGCTGTGCAAAAGCTTTTTATCTTGATGAAGTCCCAAAAGTTCATTTTTGCTTTTGTTTCACTTGCCTTTGGAGATGTATCTTGAAAGAAGTTGCTGTGGCCAATGCAGATGTGGTCCATATATACAATGGAATATTACTCAGCCATCAGGAAAGATGAATACCCAACATTTACATCAACATGGATGGGACTGGAGGAGATTATGCTAAGTGAAATAAGTCAAGCAGAGAAAGTCAATTATCATATGGTTTCACTTATTTGTGGAACATAAGGAATAGCATGGAGGACATTAGGAGAAGGAAGGGAAAAATGAAGGGGGGCGAAATCGGAGGGGGAGACGAACTATGAGAGACTATGGACTCCGAGAAACAAACTGAGAGGGGAGCGGGGTAGGGGGGTGGGCTAGCCTGGCGATGGGTATTAAGGAGGGCACGTACTACATGGAGCACTGGGTGTTATATGAAAACAATGAATCATGGAACACTACATCAAAAACTAATGACGCACTGTATGGTGACTAACATAATAAAATAAAATAAAAATAAAATAAAATAAAGTCTTAAAAAAGAGACATGATATTCTAGGGCATAAAATAATTTTTTTTAATAGATTTTATTTATTTATTTATTTATTTATTTATTTATTTATTTATTTATTTACTTGAGAAAGAGAATGTGAGAGAGAGAGAGTGCACGAGCTGGGGGGGAGGAGCAGAGGGAGATGCAGGCTTCCTGCTCAGCAGGGAGTCCAATGCAGGTCTTGATCCCAGGACCCTGGGATCATGACCTGAGCTGAAGGTAGACGTTTAACTGATTCAGCCACCTAGGCACCCCTAGATCGTAATACAAACTTTAAAGAGTTGAAATCACAGAAAGTATGTTCTCTGAATATATCAGAATTAAATGAGAAACCAATAATAGAAAGATATCTAGAAAAGTCATAAATATTTGGAAATTAACACACTTCTAAATAACCCAGGGGTCAAATAAGAAGTCACAGGGAAGTTAAAAAATATTCTGAACTGAGTTCAAATAAAAATACAACATATCAAAATGTATTAGACTCAGCCAAAGCAGTGCTCAGAGAGAAATGCATAAAATCACATGCCTATGTTAGAAAAAATAAGATCTCAAATCAATGATCTAAACTTCCACCTTTAGGGGCCCCTGGGTGACTCAGTCAGTTCAGCCTCTGCCTTCTGCTCAGGTCATGATCTCAGGGTCCTGGAATCGAACCCCACATTGGGTTCCCTGCTCAGTGGGTAGTCTGCTTTTCCCTCTCCCTCTGCCTCTCCTCCCAGCTCATGCTCTCTCTCTCTCAAATAAATAAAATCTTTTAAAAAAAAAGAAACTTCCACCTTTAGAGGGGCACCTGGCTGGCTCAGTCAGTAGAGCATGAGACTCTTAATCTCAGGGTCATGAATTCAAGCCACCTTGGGCATGGAGCCTACTTAAAAACAAACAAACAAACAAATTTACACCTTTAGAAACCACATAAGGAAGAGCAAATTAAATCCAAAGCAAACAGAAGGGAAGTAATAAAGAGCAGAAATCAGTAAAATTAAAAATAGGGAAACAACATAGTAAAATAAATAACACCAAAATAAAAGGAACCAAATTTTATTGAAAATACCAACAGGGGTGCCTGGGTGGCTCAGTCAGTTAAGCATCCAACTTAGTTTTGGCTCAGGTCATGATCTCAGGGCTGTGGGGTCAGGCTCCATGCTCAGCATGCAGTCTGCTTGAGATTCTCTCTCTTTCCCTCTCCTTCCCCTTGGACCCCTTTCCCCCATTTCACTGTCTCCCCTGGTACTCTTTTTCTCTCTAAAATAAATAAAATCTTAAAAAAAAAAAAAAAAAGGAAAATACTAACAAAATCTATAAACCTCTAGCCATACTGACATGAAAAAAAAAGACATAAATGACCAAAATCAGGAATGTGAGGGTGACATCATCACAGACACTACAGATATTTAAGAGAGTATTACACACACCTTTATGCCAATTCATCCATAGGCACAAATTACCAAAGCTCACTCAGGAAGAAATATATTACCTGGATAATCCTATATCCATTAAAGGAATTAAATCTGTAGTTTAAAACCTCTCCATAAAGAAATTTCTTTGCCAAGTGGCTTTACCAGCAAATCTACCAAATCATAAAGAAATAATACTAATTCTAGGCGCCTGGGTGGCTCAGTCGGTTAAGCATATGCCTCCGGCTCAGGTCATGATCCCAGGGTCCTGGAATCGAGTCCTGCATCTGGCTTTTTGCTCAGCGGGGAGCCTGGTTCTCCCTCTCCCTCTGCCTCTCTCTGTCTCTCATGAATAAATAAATGAAATCTTAAAAAAAAAGAGAGAAAGAAAGAATACTAATTCTATATAATCTTTTTTGAAAACAGAAAAAGGGGGAAACATTTCCAATTCAGGAGCACAACCCTATTACCAAAGCCAGATAAATACATCATAAGAAAGGCAGTATCTCCCATAAACATAGATGCAAAATCCACCACAAAATATTAGTAAGTAAAATTCAACATATGAAAAGGATAATATACTACAACCCAATGGGTTTTATACTGGAAATGGAAGGCTGATTCAACATTTAAAAATTAATTGACATAATTCACCATATTAATAGACTAAAGAAGAAAAACTATGATTTCTCCATATAGGCAGGAAAAGCATTTGACAGAATTAAGTATCTACTCATGATAAAAACTCTTAGTAATCTAAGAAAGGAACTTAACCTGAAAAATGACATCTACAAAAGAAAAACTATAGGTAACACATAATAGTAAAAGACTGAATGTTTTTTCCCTAAAACAGGAACAAGGCAAGGACATCTACTCTCACCACTCCTATTCAACATGTACTGGCAATTCAAACCAACACAATAAAAAAATAAAAGGCATACAGACTGGGAGGTGGAGATGAACCATGAGAGACAATGGACTCTGAAAAACAAACTGAGGGTTCTAGAGGGGAGGGGGGTGGGAGGATGGGTTAGCCTGGTGGTGGGTATTGAGGAGGGCACATTCTGCATGGAGCACTGGGTGTTATGCACAAACAATGAATCATGGAACACTACATCAAAAACAAATGATGTAATGTATGGTGATTAACATAACAATAAAAAATTTTTTTAAAAAGCATACAGATTGGAAAGGAAGAGGTTGTCTCTATTGATAGACAACACTGTCTAAGTACAAGGTATCAAAGAATTTACAAAAATCTCCCAAAACTAATGAGAAATGGGCAATGTCATTCGAAGCCACAGTTTTTACTCCAAATTTATGATCTCTAGATATCTATATCAAACTGCCAACTGGATATCTTCACTTATATGTCCCAAGAACTCAACCCCTAAGACTCTATTTCCACAGCTGAATTTATTATCCCTCCAAACTTGGTCTGTAAAAATATATATTTCCAGGGCACTTGGCTGGCTCAGTTGGTGGTACATGCAACTCTTGATCTTGGGGTTGTAAGTTCAAGTCCCATGCTGGGTGTAGAAATTACTTAAAAATAAAATCTTAAAAAAATACAACTATATATATATATTTCCCATTATCTTTGGTAATATCACAAATTTACTTGTTCTAATATTCATAGCTTTTGAAAATTGATCTATCCATCTGCCCAAGCTACAAAAGAAAGATTCATCTTAGACTTCTTCCCACTCCACATCTACTTGGGTCACTTAGGGTATCAGTTAACTTTTGTTATGAAACAGACTGCTCCAAATCTGAAGATTTATATGGAAATATTTATTATTTCCTGTGATCCTGTGGGTTGACTAGCTGATTCTTCTGGTCTGAACCATCTTAGTTGGGGCTAGGATGACCTCACACATATGTCTGGGGCCTCAACTGGGAAGGCTAAGATGGTTGGGACACTTGGGGCCTCTCTCCAAGTGGTTCCTGATCTTCTAGGAGGCAAAGCCTGATTTGATTACATGGTGGCTGAAGGGTTATCAGCTGTAAAGGCGCAAATCCTAACGTGCAAACATTTTTCAAGTCTGCTAAATTACAACTGCTATTATCTCAATGGCCAAAGCAAGTCACATGAGTTAGTCAGTCTGGGAGGGGTCTACCTAAGGGTATGGATATACGTAGGCATGACCTATTGGCTTGAGAAGGGGGGCATAACTGCAACAATTTATCACACTTAAACCTATTTATCTCCTTATAAGCCCTCCAATTTCATGAATCCCATTTTACTGAGGAGTTCAAGATCTCATCTCCTACTTCAACTATTTGAGCTTGTATTACTGTAAGCTATCAGCATGTGAATTTTCTGGAAAATGCAAATCTTGTCATAAAACTCTGCTGCTTAAAACTCAATAGCTTTCCTTTGGCCATTAGAATAAACTATAAAATAAATTCCTAAGACCACAACATTTTTCATTTTCTAGCCCATACTTACTATTCCCTCATATGCACCCTACTCTTTCAGAAACAAAAAAAATTACTTCAAAGGGCTGTTGTATTTCAATACCATGCCTTTCCACCTATTGTTGTTTTTATCTCGAATGTCCATTTACTGCTTGTGTCCTGGCAAATTTCGACATATTCTTCAAGATTCAGCTCAAATATCACAAATATAATGAAGCAGTTCCTTCCTAACAAAGTTAAATGCTTCAGTTCTTGCTTCCATTGCATCTCATACAACCTTTAATTATAGTTTTATTCCAGTATACTACAATTATTTGTTTGGAGACTTGTCTAGCCACTTATGTCACTGTAGGAAGGGCACTGTGTTTTTTTTAATGTCTACCTCTCCAACCTCTAGTACAATTCTTGACACTTAGTAAGTACTCAGCAAATCCTGCTTGAATTAATCAATTAAAATGCCCATTTCCTACATTCTAGATGCTAGTGGAAAGAAAATTTATCAGGTAAGTCTGTCCCTGTCAAATCTTGTCATCAACTCAGTACTCTTTACTTCTTCAAATGTTACTTTTCAGTCAAGTTGTTTGAGTGGAATGCAGTTCCAAATATACTAGTAAACTTTCAATATGTCCTAATATACCTACAATGTGTTATGAATGTGTTAAAGTAAGAATTTAAACATTACAGTGAGATGAGTAAATGTATTAAATTTTAAATATACCTACTGTACTAAAACAGACTGATGCCCCATTGTAGCTATAGCTAGATTACATGAGACTGACTCTTTTTCTGTTTCCCTAAATTATCATACCTTTTAAAGTTTAAAATAAAAATATCCATGTTGTAGATGGAATGAAAGGATATATACAAAAGTATGTCTCCTTGAAAAATTCACTACAGTCCTGAGCCTGGCCCTCAGCCTTTGCTACAGTCCTAATATTTGTGCCCCTACAAAATTCATCTAACGTCCACTGTGATGGTATTAGAAGTTGGAGGCCGGTGATTAGGTCATGAGGGCAGAGCCCTTATGAATGAGATTCCAAAGAGTTCCCTCCACCCTTCCACCACAGGAGGACACAGCAAGAATAGGAAACAGATATTCAACAAAACAGGTACTCACCAGACACCAAATCTGCCAGCACTTTGATGTTAGACTTCTTATGCTCCTGAACTGTGAGAAATAAATTTGTGGTTTATGAGCTACCTAGCCTATAATTTTGCAGCCCAAATGGACTAAGACAGCCTTACTAACCCAGAAACCTAATTTGTCAGCAAGACTTATGTTAAGCTCATGGAGACCTATGAATACTAAAAAATAAATAAAAAGCCAAATATCTTAATCAACAGTGTGAAGCAGATCTAATACCAGTTGGGGGCGGGGGGGGAAGAGTGTCTTTTCTAACCAAGGGAAATGGTTTGGTGATAGAACAAACCTGACTTATGATCCCAGGATGCTGGGATCGAGCCCTACATAGGGCTTCCTGCTCTGCAGGAAGCCTGCTTCTCCTTCTCCCACTCCCCCTGCTTGTGTTCCCTCTCTCGCTGTGTCTCTCTCTGTCAAATTAATAAATAAAATCTTAAAAAAAATTAAAATAAAAAAAGAACTAATCTGACTTAAGCACAGCCCCAAAGCAGATAACTGAGGTTAAACGGTGTACTCAGCTGTACTGATACAGGAGAAAATAAAGTGCAAACAACTTCGTGATTAAGAAGCCTGGGCAAAGTTGTGAATGGTTGTAAGTCAGGTAATGACCAATAAAAAGACAAAGTATCACTCATTCCACTAGTCAACTCATAGCACATATATGCAAATTTATTGTCTCTAACGAAAGAAAACCCCTTGCCAAGTAAGACTGTAAGAAGACTATTAAGAGTTATTTACTTGACGTCAATTTCTATAAATTACAGGTAAAAAGCTTGTAGTTCAGAATGGAAAGGCCTTTGGTGGTTGTGCGGGATGAGGGAAGATTCATGGAATACGGTTATCATTTAAAATATGTTTTTGCCGGAGATTAAAAGGGGGGGGGGTTTCTTTTGGATTTGTTGTTGTTGTTTGTTTGTTTGTTTTTTAATTGAGAGAGAGAGAATGATAGCATGAGAGGCAGGAGCGTCAGAGGGAGAAGCAGACTCCCTGCCAAGCTGGGAGCCCGATGCGGGACTCGATCCCGGGACTCCAGGATCATGACCTGAGCCGAAGGCAGTTGCTCAACCAACTGAGCCATCCAGGCGCCCTTGTTCCTTTTGTTTTAAGATTTTTCTTAATAAACGCTTCATTCTAGAACTTAGAGCTAAGATAGCAGAATTCCCTATATACAAGACAGGGTTTTTAAAATTAACTTCTACTTCCACCGCCACCAAATCTCTCTCCGACTTCTCTTTGCTTCTCCTCCCTCAAGTTTCGGCAGGGCCTAGCTCACACGGTGCAACTTTAAGATCATAACGAAAAGCCATTTCAGTTAAAACTTCACCACCCAGCCACGACTCGGTCAGGGGGTTAAGCTCGAGAAACGCCAACGCGAAAACCCGAACGTTCTCGCTCCGCCCCACTCTTCTCGAGACGCGCCGAGCCGGTCGCTGACGTGGCTCCTCTAACTCGGGTCCCAGGAGACGGGGATATAAGCAGGGTGGTGGGCAGCCTACACAGGGCAGGCGCCAGCATCCTGCGGGACGAGCCGGGGCCGGCCTAAGACAACCCCCAACATCAGGCCTCTCCTCCGAGAGCAGGTTCCTAAAGCCAGAACATTTTTAACCTCAAAACATCCAGATCTCTGAGGCGTGTAGCGGATTACACGTATATACGCACTTAGGTGACGGCGGCTTATTGTTTAGTGCAGACGCCTGCAGGCGGTCCTCAGGCGCAGCCCCCTCCTCTCAACAACCACCACCCCCAGGCGGCCTCACGCCAGCGGGGCCGCCCGGGCGCAGCCCGTCCCTCGGCGCGTTGCGCGGGGGCGGGCACGCGGCGGGCAGCGCACGCGCGCGTGAGGACGTCTGGGGAGCGCACGCGCCGCCGCCGCCGCCGCCGCCGCCTCCGCCGCCGCCACCGAGCTGGGCCGGAGTTGCCGGTAGTGGGGATTTAAGGTGATGGCCTTGACTGAAGGCCTCGAGCCGGGGTCTCCCGCTGTTGCTGCAGTCGCTGCCGGGGCCTCCGTTCACTCATCGTCATGAGAGGTCAGGCCTGGGGGGAAGCGGGCTGAGGCGAGGGGCCGCGGCGAATGGTGTCTGGGGTGGGGGTGGGGGGAATAAGTGAGGCACTCGGAGCTCGAACGGGGGTGGAAAACTCGGTCCTGGGGATTCCGGAGGAGTTGCGTGCGCGTTTGCTTTTCTTAAATTTTTCGTCCCCTTTCTTGCTTGTGCTTGGAGGAAAGTGGGAAGGTTCTACGTTATATATGGAAAAAGAGACTGTCCCGTCCAACGTTGGTCTTGGGAGGTTTGAGGGAGTAAATAGCACCTGTGGCGTCGGAGCATCGGTGAAAGCGTTTAGTGAAAGGCACTAAAAACCACACCGCCGTACAGTAACTGGAAAAAAAAAAAAAAAAATCAAACTTAGGAATGAAAGGGAATGACAGAACATACCCTGACGTTAACCCTAGCTTCCTCCCACGGGCAGACTGGGATAAGGCTCTGGCATCTTCCAGGGCTGCCCACACTGGTCATTTAGGGATCCTTCCCTGCCAGTGTCTTTTGCCCTTCCCACCCCCCCCACCTCCCCAAAGATGATGGCATTTTTAATGGGCAGACTATATAACTATCCTTACTCAGACTAAAGAGTTACCTAGCAATTACATGGCGACTCCCTAAGTCTCCCTATTTTGAAGGTATTTGGGTAGTATTCTTTTGTGGGGGAAGGTGATACTCTTGGAAGTAGTTATTAGAAATCTTTTAAGCCTGGGGAAAGCTATTTCAGCATAAAACGAAATTTGTAGGTCACCTAAATGAAATGTTTATTATTAGTTTTCCATGATACTTTAAAAGGCATTAAGACTTAATTTTTTTTTCTTCCTAGTCTTTCTAAGCATTAAAAAATACTGTCTCACTTTTATGAAATGTAGAATCTCCATCAGAGATGAAACTGCTCCAGTTGGGCAGAGTAAATATACTGATGTATTCAAGTATGAATAAGTATTGGTACATTATTAACATCTGCTGGGCACTTACACTTTGACAGTTTTGCTCTTTCCTTCTGTATTTAGAGAAGAGGGCATCTGAAACTAAATTTTTTTTGTAGCAGATGTTCCTTAAAAAATAGTTTGGGTACAGCAGCAGAGCCTTGGCATTAAGGGGGAGGAGTCTAGTAACAAGTGATAGATAATCTGAAGATAATTCATCAACTATGACTATTGCCCTCTACTGTAATGAATAAAGGATTCCTACTGAGCAGTATATTGTCCGTATTTAACTGTTCACTTAGAATATTTTATGCTCTTTGATTTTTAGGAAATAGAGCCCTGGAGCAAAGAAATCTGGATCACATAAAAAGTATTCAAGGGTCATGCAAGCCAACTGTAGCCAACTGCACAGCCCTCCAGGAGCTGCAGGCAATGAGGATGCCTCAGCCTCCCAATGTGTCCATACAAAATTGACAGGAGAAGGTTCTTGTCTTCACTCTGGAGATGTTCATATCCAGATAAACTCCATACCTAAAGAATATGCTGAAAATCCAACATCCAGAAATACAAGGTCAGGTGTCCATAGCTGTACCCATGGATGTATACATAGTCGATTCCGGAGTCACTCCCAGAATGAAGCAAGGCAGTCTGATGATACTGCCACAGAGTCTGGAGATCACGGTAGCAGCTCCTTCTCAGAATTCCGCTCTCTCTTAAAGTGGTTGCACAAAAGTCTTCCATATATTTTGATTCTGGGTGTCAAACTCGTTATGCAGCATATAACAGGTAGGGTATAATAAAACATTGAATTGTTTCATTGTCAGTTAATTTTATTTCTTTACTGGTAATCTGTCTGAACCTTTGTATTTTGTTAGCTTTTAAAATTGTACACGTTTCCTTTAAATTCATGTCATTGTGTTAGCTCTTGGATTTTTTTTTCCTTTCAATTAACTGGAACTTATCTCCTAACAGGAATTTCTCTTGGAATTGGGCTGCTTACAACTTTTATGTATGCAAACAAAAGCATTGTAAATCAGGTTTTTCTAAGAGTAAGTATACGAGTAACTAAAAAAACCATTAAATGTTTGTGTAGAATTAATTATATACTCACTTTTGAGAGAAATAGGAATTAAGATCATTTTCTTGACAAATTTAAATAGACATGTCATAGCATCCATGATATATTAAATTTTGTTATCTAAATGATCTGTCCTAATGCTAAATTGTTTCACTTTATTTTCTTTGTATGTTGAGTCCCTGATAGAAAAGCTCGATAGTATTAAAAGATTTAGAATTCACTATTTGATCTGATTTGTCAAATGCCTTCATATTTTGAGTAATTTGACCAAACTAGGTAATACAATATCATTAAAAACTTTAGCTGTTGCCCTATAAAATTTAAAATAGTTAAATGTACATCGAATAGGTATTAAACTATTTAGGTCTCTCTTATTTAAGAAAAATTGAACCCCATAGTTTTTCCGTAACACAAATTATAAATTATTAGTCATATAAATTATTGGAGAAAACAGGATTAGTTTATAAAATTTCACCTTCAAGCAACTTTAAAGGGCTGTATCTGTGTAAAGGATCATGCATTCTGACCTGGATATTTGTAGTTAAAACCTGTCAAACCATAAAAATGTAATTCAGGGTTTAAAATAGGTAAAACTTTTATAGATTTTATTTGACAGAGAGAGACGGCGAGAGAGGGAACACAAGCGGAGGAGTGTGAGAGGGAGGAGAAGGCTTCCCTCGGAGCAGGGAGCCCGATGCAGGACTCGATCCCAGGACCCTGGGATCATGACCCGAGCCGAAGGCGGATGCTCAACCGACTGAGCCACCCAGGCGCCTCTAAAACTTCTAATTAAATTAGTAATTAAAACAATTTTAAGGGGCGCCTGGGTGGCTCAATCGATTAAGCATCCTACTCTTGATTTCAGCTCAGGTCATTGTGAGACCAAGCCTCTGTCAGGCTCTGCGCTCAGTGGGCAGTCTGCTGCTTGTCCCTCTCCACTCCCCCTACCCCATGCATGCTCTCTCTCAAATCTTTTAAAGAAATTTAAGTGAGGGGCACCTGGGTGGCTCAGTTGGTTAAGTGTCTGTCTGCCTTCAGCTCAAGTCATGATCCTGAAGAAGCAGGAAGCCTGCTTCTCCCTTTCCCTCTGCTGCTCCCCGTGCTTGTGCTCTCTCGCTCTGTCAGATAAATAAAATCAATCTTAAAAAAAATTTAAGTGATATTAATAACAAATTACCTTGTTAAAATCTTACTGTATTGTTTGGAAATTCTAAAAATTATACTTAACAAATCCTTATAATTTAAATGCATTTTTAAAGTTCTGTTTTGTCAGGGAGGCAAAAATAGGTAAAGTTTGTACTTGGACGGGTCCTTTATGTCAGCTTGTAGAAGATTGGGCTTCTTTGAAGCCTGGGTAATGTGGGTTATGTTTTAATACAGTGAAGAAACCTGTATTTTGAAAAATTTGTTTAAATATGAGTTCTGTTTTGTTCACTAAAGATAGTGTGTGATGATGTACAATTTAACAATATATTTTTAATAAGATTAGTCTTAAAATGTGTTAGTCATTAAATAAAATAGTTTAATGTTATTTATAATTCTGGCATAATTCATAGTAACAAATTATAAAATTGTTTATTTTTCAGGAAAGGTGCTCAAAGATTCAGTGTGCTTGGTTACTGGTATTCTTAGCAGGATCTTCTGTTCTTTTATATTATACCTTTCATTCTCAGTCACTTTATTACAGGTAATTTGAGGTCCAAATACACAGTCATATTTTTTATGTAATCATTTATTTCATAGCATTTTGCATATATCTTAACTTGCACATAATTATTGTTAGAGTTCAATTTTTACCTGTTCCTCTCCTTCCAAGATTAATAGGTCTAAGTGACTTATTCACATTTGTATATCAGTGCCTTGGCTCATAGCAGGTACTATTTAATTTTTGATACTTAAATTTTTAGCTATATAATCAATAATTTTGAATATCACTAGGTTTTTGGTGGTGGTCTTTTTAAATTTTTATTTATTTTGACAAAAATTATATATACTTAATTTATAAGATGATGTTTTGATATATGTATACATTATGAAATGATTACACAATCAAGGTCATTAACATATCCATCACCTCCCTTAGTTATGTGTGTGGTGAGAATACATGATCTGTTTTTAGAAGCAAGGAGAAGACTTACTAAAGGACAGTACTTAAGTTTCCATGTCAGATGGAAGTGTTTTGAATTTTTGGCTTTAATCAGATAATTAGAAGTTTTGGCTTCAGTAGAGCTAGAGAGATGTGGACAGTCTGGGATATACTTTGTAGGGGGACCCGATAACACTCAGATTGCACTGGGTGGGTAGGTAGGGGGTAAGAATCAAAGATGACACCTAGGATTTAGTCTTAGCAACTGGCTGGATGGTGATGCCATTTATGGGCTGGGAAAGACTGGGGAAGGAACTGGTTTTGATGGGAAAATCAGTTTTGCTTTGAACATGTTAAGTTGGTGAGATCATGTAGAACTGTTAAAGTGATTATAACTATATGTCATGAGCTTAGAATTAAGGTTAGGGCTATAAATTTTGGTGTTATCCAGCATATGGTTGATATTTAAAAACTATGGAACTCACCAAGACTAACGAGGGGAAAAAAAAGTATAGACAGGAGAGGGGGCAGGACTGGACATGCCTATAATTAGAGGAGCAGCAGCAAAGGAGATTTAAGGAACCATCAATCACATAATGAGAACTAGAAGAGTGTGATGTTAGAAGTCTAGGAAGAAATAATTCAGGGAGGGAAGATGGAAAACAAGAAGTGAACTTTGAGTTCAGCAAGACGGAAGGAACTGGTGATCTTGACAAAAGCAATTCAGGGGAAAGGAGGGAACGGAACCTTGATTGGGGTTGGTTGAGTAGAGAATGGCAGATAATCTAGTATTTAGTGAATTTTTTAGATTACAGGCTAGCTTTCCAACCATGACATGCTGGGAAGACTTGTTTTTCTTTATTCTATGGAGGAAAGATTTGAAATTTAAACATTTGAAAAGTCTCTTTAAAATAAGCAAAATGATTTTCCATTCTGTTTATTACATGAACTCTAACATCTTGCCAAACTCACATTTTTTACACATCAAATTAAAGTAAAATATTTGGTAGCAAATTTAAAACCCTTATCAAACTTGACCTTTGTATGTTGCTCTGGTTAAGTTTTGATATTTTTCTCTTGGTAGCTTAATTTTCTTAAATCCTACTTGGGACAATTCAAGCTTCTGGGACGTACTTTGGATTGTTGGAATTACAGACTTCATTCTGAAATTCCTCTTCATGGGCTTAAAATGCCTTATTTTATTGATGCCTTCTTTCATCATGCCTTTTAAATCCAAGGTAAGAAA